CGTGCACTCGTGCAGAAAGCGCGAGGTTCAACTCCCGTCTGGGTCAAGTCCTTGCCGATAACTCAGCATTCTTGCGATAATCGGGAATATTTCTTTCAAGATCGAGTAGAGCTCCTCTTCCCGACCACCAATCGAGTAGAGCTCCTCTTCCCGACTACCAAGTGGGAGCCCCTTGGTTGCTTGCGCTCTGACTAATGATACGCCCCTCTCTTTGTCACACGATTCCTCGCTGCTGCTTATGATGGCTTAGGTGAGTCCTCGAAGTCGAGAAGTTCTTCTGCTTCTCATTTAGCCGATGGCCATTTCCCGAGCTATCTGCCATTTCATTATCATGCCCGAGCTATCTGCCATTTCTATGCTTTAGCCTTGAGTTCTTGTGCTATCAATTAACATTAATGAATTTCTTTTCACCGGAGCGCCACGCATTCGATTTCCATTCACAATCGAGGTGGTGTTTGAATGCAACTTGGCTTAGACAATGAGCTGTGAAGGCTCTACAATGTACTTTGTGGTCTTATCTGCCACCAGGGTCTGGCGAGGATGAAGTAAAAGGCAAGGGAAGGAAGTTTGTTGGCTTGGGCAAGACTTAATCTCCCTTACCTCCGAGCACTAGCAGCGCTTTTTCCAATACTCCAGCATCTTCGGAAAAGGATATTCACAATGTTGTACTGACGCTGAGAATGATGTGGCGTGTCAGTGCGGCTGGGCTTGGCGTGGCGCCGTCCCGTTCTCAATCTTGCTGAAGTGGTTAGCGACAACAGTGACGATATTATACAGTCATGACAAAAGGAAAAAAGAAAAAAAACAGGCTGGCGCAGAGTCAAACCCATCCCCGTAAACACGCCCCGTCATCCGCAGTGAACAAGACTGCGGTCATTTGAGAACCTTTTTCACTGCCGTTCATCGAGATGTGTTGTTATGATTAAAGCAGCCACTGATCATGCGTTCAATTCGTAGTAACGTCTTGAAACCCCCGAAGTCCCTGTGTCGTTTTTAATGATATTTACACTTTATGACGACCGAAACCGTGGGGAGTGTCTTTTCCGCACAAACTTTTTGGCTCGTTTTCACGCACGTTTAAAAAAGTTCAAATGGCGATGTTCCCAATTTCAAGGAAAATTTCAGCAGCTATCAATCTTCGATCATTTGCGTCATTATTTTTTTGACCTTGAATGTGTTCTGCGTTTCAAGGTTTCCCAACGTGAAGACGTTTCAATCGAACTAGCATGGGATTAGGAGCGGCTCGGATAATGTCTGAGAGATCCGAAGTAAACTCTGAAAACTATCACAAGAATGCTGAGCTTTAGGCAAAAGTCAGACTCTAGGTGGGACTAGAGACCCGCAATTCCGCTAGCCGGGTGGGCGCTCTATTAACTCAGGCGACTCAGACTCTCAGCTAAATGGCTTGTACCGTAGCCAGAGCCTCATAGGCACTCATACCAATACTCAAGTTATTCGAGTCAATAACAGTTTTTCCCTCGCAGACGCAAATCTTACGATTGGCTGATGTAGAACGATTTTTCTTAGCAAGGTGAGATGGACGTCTGCGAAAGGGAGTGGGTAAAATGATCTTAATTTATTTATTTTTTATTTATCGTTATTCAAATGCACGCCAAAAGTGCGGCCGCATAAGTTAAGGAGATCAAAACCCATTGCACAGTAACATAGCTAGAAGGAATGATTTTTTATTTGCAAGGCCTATCGAGAGAGGCGCTTCTGGGGGAGTTAAGCCTGCTGGAAGTAATCCGCGTTGCTGCAGACTCACACCCAAAATGAGGTGATTGGCAGGCGCGCATTGATGTTGGATCTGCTAAGAAGGGAATTTAATTGCAGCTCGAGAAGCGCTCTGGGGGAGTTACGCTGCTGGAAGTACCCGCCCGTTGCTGCAGACTCCACCCAAAATGAAGGCGATTGGCAGGCGCGCTGATGTCTGCGGTCTCGCTACTTTCCCTGTTTTTACGTATCTTCGTAGCTTGTTCTCTTGCTAACGATGTTTAGCCGTAAGACCGCCCGGTCTTCTGTACTTCCAAATATTATTTTATAAAAATCATTTTTTCACCCTTCCATTGGTGGCACTCCTGCTCAAGCAAGGCGCACAGCTTTGCGTCCCATTGCGGGAACCTTTTTGACCCTCCAACTGACGTCGCACGAGAGCACGTTCTCTTCTTTCCTTTTCCACACAAGAATTACAACACCATGTACCTTGGTGCAATCACGGACTAAACAACATATTCGACGGTATATATTTTTTAATGTATTTATTTGAATGACGCACATTATATACCCAGTTGCTGCACACATACACACATGCAGACAATATGAAAGAACAGCAGTACCGAGATGTGTACCTCCCATCGTCATACGGTAAAGACAGCTCTGGCCAATAGGAGTGGCCGACCACAATGGTGGGCGTGGTTAGGAAAGCTCTGCTTCAAACTATATGGGATTAAAAATCTCTACATCTATGTGGGACATTACGGCAGCGATAACAAAAGCAGTACGGCAGCAGTGGACAACACAGACACACATATGTGCGCACTAGCGCTATGGCATATGCGGAGGAACGCCTCCTCCGCAGTGGCGGCGGACGAGTTAGCCGGGTCATTGGACGAGTTTCGTTGGACTTTAATAGGAACAAAGCGTTAACCTATATAAATACAATACAAACAGATGGTCAAGTAGGAATGCAATTAATGATCAGAAATTCATCAAAGCCATTATTATCATTTAATCATCGATAATCATTACATCATTAGACACCTAAATGTGTTTATACTGTGTGCAAACAACTGGTTTCATATACAAATGCACGTGCGCAGATATTTTTTTGTGATATTAGTAGCGGGAGAGACAGGGCGCTCGTGACGTGAGTGGGTCCTGTCCGGACAGTACGAGGTACGGTAGTAGGTCGAATCGCCCGTGATGTGTATGTACAGTGCGCGCAGATGTTGCAATTAGTTGGCAGCTGCCACAGCTACCGTCGGATTTACCGTCCTCGATTTCAATTCGCCGTCTTCCAGGATCTGAAACGGGAGGAGTATTGAATGCGCAATGCTCATGGGTTGTATGTGTACTGAATTATAAGTTTAGGAAGCCAAACGGTATACAGTAATCAAATCTGCGCGTAAAATCAAGTGCATATGATCAGCGAGTGCACACAGTATCTCTCAATTTCCGCATTGGCAGCCCCGGGCTGCAGGTGGAAAGCGGAAACAGCGTCGTTCAGACATCCTGGCCACACCCTTACCCGGGCCCGGCTTGCGATACATCCAATTGTGTGCATTCACGGGAACGACACATTTAACTCACGCGCAATTTCTGAGAGTACTGTATACCCTCTGTCTTCCTAA